TTAATCATTATTTTGGACAGTGATGTCCAAAATCACCAAATTAAAATCACTTCTTCTTTATTTGTTTTTTTACTTAAAAATGCAAAAATGGTTTTCTTGTTAATTATTTTCTTTTTTCCTGCTCAGCAACAAATTAACATGTAATATTTTGAATGAAATGGTCAAAAAAAAGGATCTTAAAGCTGCACAGTTTCTAAAGTTGTTTGTCAAATTATCAATTTTAGTTTATTGCCATCAACAAAAGAAAGAACCGTCTCATTAACTGTCGGAGTCTGTTTTGGTCTTAAATGTTGCTGGAGATTTGTGGCCCCACTTACTATGACATTAAAATAAAAGCAAAAATAAATCAAAATAATAAAAAAAGAACACTCATTTTCTATTAAATATATAAATATGTCATTAAAAATCTCATAAATTGCGTCCAGCAGCCACTAAAAACGACTGAAAGGGCCTCAAATGGCCCTCTGACCACACTTTGGACACCCCTGATTTAGAATAACTTGGTTTTTTTCATGTTAATGAGCTGATAATTCACATAAAGTGTCGTGAAAAAGTATTTTCCACTCAGAGATTTGCTTTAATATTTAAAGCAAAACTCTAAAAACTGTTTTTAAATTCTGATCAGTTAAAGAAAAGAAGCTAATCTGACTGGTTGCTGTCAAGATTTTGAGTGTTTTGACAGATATCTGGAGAAATTTAGGTACGAATCACCTGCCTTTGTCCAGACTTTGACTAGGCCACTCGAAAACTTCTGATTGTTTGAGTCATTTGGACGTGTACCAACTGGATCTTTGTGCCAAAACAATGTTTTGGTTTTGTTCCAGCCGTTACTGGAAGTCGTTCAGGTCCTGAAGTAGCAAAGCAGCCCAGAGCATGACACCACCACCACCGTGTTTCATTCTTGGCATAATGCTCTCTTCCTTAAATGCAGTTAGTTTTATGTCAGATGTAACGCGACACAAACCACAATATTTTCTTCATCTTGATAAAAGAGTCCCACTTCCTCTTACATTTTATTTCTCTGTTGTTAGAATCTTATTTCTAATCGATATTATTAAGGAATCATTTGCTTAAAACAAGCTCAGATACGTTGCTAAAAGTTACTATAAGTTAGTTTTGTCTTATTTCAAGACATTTGCCCTGGAAAGTAGATCACAAATGCTTGATAATCGAGAGCTTGCAGTGTGGAGATCATCAAGATGTTTGCTGATAAATGTGAGTCGGAGCGTTGTGTTTGTTTTTGGGTCAGCAGAGGATCTGGCCTTGAAACTCTCCTGTAGATGGTGCTTTTGTTGGTTACTGTTCATGAGCGCTGCCAAAGGCCTGACGTGATCTGGATGTTTTTTTGGGTTACTCTTTGACATGTCAGGGGATTTCCGTTTTAGAAAACCATGAAATTCTGACAGATTAACTCCAGACCTCTTGGTACACATGAACAGAGTTCCTGACTTATAATCACTGCAACTGGAAATCCAAGCGCATCAGGAGGAAGTTGGACATTTTTCCGCCCACTGACAAATTTGTCCGTTGGAGGAGTTGTTTAATTTCACTGTTTATATTACCGGGGCAACAGTCAGTGGTTTCTGTCACTGTGGAGAAAAAGCTTCATGAATTAATCTGTCTGCAACGAGACGATGTGGATTCTCTTCATCTTGTTGAATATTAACTAAGCTGAATAAACATGAAATGCACGGCGCTGGTGGAGTTCCCAAAAGCTGTTTTCAAGTAAAAGTAGCTCTATTTCAACAAATTTTACTCAAGTAAAAGCAAACAGTAGCTGCTGAAGAAATGACTCAAGAGTGAAAAAGTATTTGGTAAAAAGTATTGAGAAACTGATGACTTTGTCAACCATTTAATATTTAAACGTTGCATCATCAGATGGACCAAAATACAAAGTTAAGTGGAAACTTTAGTATTTTAAGGACAAAATTATTAATAATTTATGTAACTGACAAAAAATAACAAAATCAGGGAAAAGTAAATTTTTCCAAATAATTTTTTTTTCAATAAAAATCTTATGAAACTTTGACAAAACTGCAGGTGTGTGTCTGTTTCTGGTGAAATTTTGTTTGTTCTTCGTTCAGAAACTTTATTCAAGTAAGAGCAGAAATACTTCACAATAAAAGTCGTCAAAGTACAGTGTGGTAAAAATACTCCTAGAAACACATTTCCTCAAAAAAGCTCCTCAAGGAAATGTAACAAATTACTACTTAATTCTGAACATGTTATAGTTTTTAAAAAATAGATTCTGATGGAAAACATCACCAGCAGATAGTTTGTGGGTTGTGGGTTCAGAAGAGTGAAAGCTGATTGACTGATATGTGGCTCATTAAACCACCTTCTGCTCAGAATAATAATAAAAAATGATCTAGCTTCAATTCATTTACAGTAAAAGTTAAACTGAGTGCAAATAACAAAAATGTGATTTCAGCATTTAAGAGCACAACATATTAGCTCTGTATATAAAACTACAAGATATTGTTTGTTGTTTTATCAGATTCTGTAATAAATATTCACACCTTTTCTATGCTTTATGTCTGACTTTGTGTGTTTATTCATAAACAAGCTGCTAGATTTAGGATTTAATGAGATGTTAAAATAAGAGCGAGATGAGTTTATCTGGCAGTGGATCAGAAACATCAGCAGCTGTAGTTTTGGTAATAACCACTCAGATGTGTCTGGTTGCTTCCTGCAGGAAGCTGGAGGTGAAGAAGTGGTGCTGAAAACCACAAATACTAGAGAAACAAACATGAAATAAACCAACATTCTGCTGCAATGTTTCCTTTAATCTCCTGACATTTCAACAAGAGTTCTTGAGTTTCTTTAAAAGTAAATCTGGTAACATTTGTATGGTTTGTTTTGGCCGTTTTATCCGTAGGTGTCGCCGTCTTTTCACAAGACTACAGTTCTGTAGATGATGAAGATGATGGAGATGTTGGAGACGAGATTTTTGGAAGCGGTGAAGCAACATTAGAACCACCAGCTGGAAACGACTCCAGCATCCTTCCCTCCTCAGGTAACCTTGACCTGCTCTGCTGAAACTCACAGAACCTCCTGCTGTGGTTATTTTGATGCATCAGCGCTTCATTAGTCAAATGCACAGTAGTGGAGGGTTGATGATGTGGGCCTGTTTTCCAGCCACAGTGTCCTAAAGAATCCCAAACAAAGTAACAAATAGTTGAAGAATCAAGATTTAAGATTTTTACTGCAAAAAGTCAAGAGCTAATCATGAGGAGTTTCTACACACATTATCCAGTTTCACTTGCACTTAAAATCAAATGAGATTAAAGCAGAAAATGTAATTTCCTGACAACCAGATTCCTCATTAAAACTGTGATTTTAATGACACTTTGGATTCCAGCTGACTGGTTTTCTTCTTCTCCTTTCAGCTGCTCAACACTCACCACAGAGAGGAGATTGTCACCAAATACAGCCTCTGCCTGCTTCCTATAATTTTAAATTTGTGCATGAAAGCCTGAAAATTTTAATTTTCAGAGTTAAAGAATATTTTACCCTCATTGTTTTGTCCTTTGTTGAAAAGGGTTTTGATGACTAAAGTGTATTAAAATAATCCAAGTAATGACAGTATTTCCTCTACCATGCAATGTTGTCCATTTACTAAGGTTGATTCTGTTGGGAAAATAAACTGTAAAAAATGTTCCTCTACACTTTGGGATTCCATTTCCTTTCATTTGTACAAATAAAGATCTAAAAACTGTGTTAAGCATTTTAACTCTGTATTGAAATCCAAAACAATGTTTCTGTCAGTTTCCACCAAATTCGTCGACTGAGTAGTTTAATCTCAGTTACCTAGCAACCCCACCGGAGTTCCACCAGTTACCTAGCAACCAAAGCTGAGTTCCAGCTGTGTACAATGGCTGCTGGAAAAGACAAGTGTTTTGTTGCTGCCTTTGCCATCCAGAAACCACTTGCTGCATTCTTGCTGATTGTGCAGCAGGCTTCACTTCTGCTTTTCAAAGATGTACAGATGTATGATTGTACATCTGTTTGCAGCCATTTTCACGTGCGAGTGCAGTTTAAGTTGAGCTTATTTGGATTTAAAGTGACAATGATTTTGTGCAAAATAGGTAATGAGCTTGTTTTGAATAGACCATAGAGCAAAAATAACCTTTTCAAGGAGGCGTAAGAGAAAACCTTGAGGTTAATACTTTGTAAACCAGAAATAACTTCCTGTTTTCAAGGCTAACATGAGTCTCAAGTGTCTCTTGATCTCAGATACGCCTCAACCTGGTATGAGGCCCTATAGGTAGATGGAATTTGGGCCCACCTTCTGGTTTAGAGCGTCACCACGAACAGGGTTTGAGTAAAGATTTGGTGGAAAGTTAAGGACAAATTATAAGAAGAAATAGACATTAGCCACTCTGAAACGGGAATCTGTTATCGAAAGAGGAAGGTGACAATATGCAGAGCGTGCCAGACACACACAGCAGACAGAGAAGTGTGTTTCAACAAAAACAAGATCTCGGAGCCAAGGCACCATTTCCTTTCAGTCAAGCTGCTTGGAGGTGTGGATAATTATATGAGGACTGGCTGAATAAATGAGATCCTTCCAGAATTTTTCTTCTACATCAGATCCAACCCGTGGAACAAAATCACCAACCATATTCAACAACAGACCTTCTGCTTCTGCCTTCAGACAAATCGCCAACACAGCGAGTCGTGGTTGTCTGGAAATCCTCAGAAATACAATTCAGCTACATAAACCGGAAAGAAAATATGAATAAATCAGAATCTGGATCAGCAGCACTTCGCTGGTGAGACAACCTGAGACTTTTAGTGTCACTTAGAAAGAAAGCATAAAGAAAGGTGGCGAATCTCACTTAAAGAGATTTAGCCAATAGTAGCCACACATGTGACATCAGCCACATGTGTACAGAATGTTCTCTTTGCTTCAGAGCAATAATTTCTGTTTCCTGTCAGCTGTTTGGTAGCTCAGTGCACAAGCCAACAAGCCAACGCCCCCAAGACAGACATTGTTCTGATGGGATTCTGGATCTTTCAGATCAGTTTGAGAAACGTCTTTCATCGTGTCAGCTGGGTGCTGCTCTTTGTCTTTTACACTTTGGTATGTATAGACTCTGAAACTGTTGCATCTATAGACTTTGAAACTCTAGAGGAAACCAATGACTAGAGTCTTGAACTAGTTCCCTGTTTCGTTTTCACATGTTTGGTGACCATTAAAGTCGGTCAGGAGAGCGTTTGAGGAGACGCGGAGAGCCGGACGAGACGATGGAAACGTTTTATGTTTTTCTGCTGATCTCGGCTCTTGGTGAGTTTTTTTCAGGCGTCTGAATGTTTTTATTCCGACTTGTAGCTTCATTGTTTTGATACGAGGAGGTTGATGGAAGAGCTGCTGCTGCTGATTTACTGTTCCAGTGTTTCTTTGTTAGGATTTGAGCTCAGCTGACACAAAATGGGTCGAATTTGAGTTTGAGAGGCAGAAGTTAAGAATCAATGGATTATTAGTGACTCAAACCAGCCAAGTTAGTTTGTAACAAACAGGGAAAACAGCTTCTGAGTTTGGAAAAATAGTTCAGATTATTTTATACGGGTGAAAAAAAAGAAATCTTTTTGCTAAATTATTTTCACAGATTTTTATTTGCATTTAAAGTTTAAGTGATTTTTTTTCCACATGCAGTTTTGTATTGAAGTATCTTCCCTTCGCCGAGTTCTGCTTTTATGCCTTAAGCCTTTCACAATTCTCAGAGAGCCAGAGAAAACACAAAACGCCTTTTTCAAATTCTGCTTTAGGTCAAGCCACAGCATTTTCATTTTCCAGACTTTGAGTAGGCCACTCTGAAACATTCTGATGTCATCAAAGAAAAGGAACGAAGGAACACAGAAACTAACAAAACCAACTCAAACAACCTGAGAAATAGGAAAAGGATCATTTAAGAAGAAAGAATGTTACAATGAAAACTAGAAGCACATCAGCCACTGCATCAGCTCAGGTTCCTTTTCTGATTAAAGTCCTGCATGTTTTAGTTTTGGTCCCTGCTACAGTTATTACTTTCTGTTAATGTCAATGTTAATTGATCCAGGGTGAGAACTAAAACATGCAGGTTTACAGACATGCATGTTTAGTTTAGTCTGCAGTTGTGCAGAACTGAATGATTTTAACTTGTAACTTTTACAACGTCTGCAGGTGTTGCTGTTTCATCCCAGCCAGACGATGAATTCTATGATGATTATGATTTTACCCATTTTTATCACTTCAATTACACATACTTTGGGAACATATTTGACAGTGACTCTGTTCCCTCTACAGGTAAACTCTTTTTGATCTGCTAACAGAAATATATACAAATTATTTTAATTAGATTTTAAATTAATTTATTCTTTATTCTGTTTCTATGTGTTTCATATTCTTATCTTACTGGCCATGCATGTCCTGATCTAATCTTCATAAAGTTTTCCCAACTTCCTGATTTAAAAATGATGCATTGATTCACATGTGAATGAAAGTCCTTCATTGGCTAAATGTGGGATTTTCAAAGATGGAAAATCTGCACAACAGTAACTGAAATATTAATATAGATATTCGAGTTTCTACTTTACTCTGAACATACTTACACAAAATCTTCAAACTGTGATTTTTACTGAGTTTTATAGTGCAATAAACACTGAGTTATAAATATTTGCGGAGAAAACTGAAAGATGAAACTGTGTTGCTGTGAAACAGGAAGTAGTTCCCTCCAGTTCTCTCCAGTTTCCTCCAGTTCCCTCCAGTTTCCTCCAGTTTCCTCCAGTTCCCTCCAGTTTCCTCCAGTTCCCAGCTGAATTTTGATGGTTTTCTTCTCCTTCTCTCCATTCAGCTACCGAACCTTCTCCTTCTCTCCATTCAGCTACCGAACCTTCTCCTTCTCTCCATTCAGCTACCGAACCTTCTCCTTCTCTCCATTCAGCTGCCCAACCTTCACCACAGAGAGGAGCTGTTGTCACTAAATTCAGCCTCTGTCTGTTTCCTGCCATCTTAAATTTGTGCCTGAAAGACTGAAAATAATGATGATAAAGAAGAAAAACTTTGTTTGTTCAGGTTTTGTTTGTTAACTGTAACCCTGATGAAGACGTGTTAAATAAGACAAACAAATAGTGTTAAAATAAACCAAATAATGTTTATTATGCAACTATGTAATAAACTTTAAATAAACAAAATATTCTGGGTCCTTTGACATTTATTATGTATTTGTTTTTCTTTGTGTATTTTTGAGGACATTTTAGATGTTTTAGATTTTTCTCGATGTCTTTAGACTATAAACATATTTTTTATGCAAAAAAAAAAACACATTTTTGGTGCCAAAACTGCATGTTTTTTGAAAACACCAATAGTGAACATTTTTATTTGTTACTATTTCAAAAAGTCATATTTTGGTTTTTGAGACGTTTAATTAGTGAACCATTTTTTGCAACTTTTTCAAAAACTAACATTTGAAATAAAACCGTGGAAAATCATTTAATTGTGAAAACTGCAGACATCAGCGATATTATTTTGTCACATTTTGCTGATTCTTCTATAATGCTAACTGTGATTCATTAAACTGTGCAGCTCAGCTTTGAACGACCTTTATGACGTTCAGAGAGCAACTGAAGGAGAAGACATGAAGGAGAAGTTGAGGGTATTGAATAATTAAAGCTTAAAACTTCTTTCCTTTTGCATTTAAAACCTCTTAGTGGAAGTTTGAGAGGCAGAAGTGAATATTCCTCATGCACACCAGTCTGGGCGTTATAACTGGATGAAGTTCAGGATTCAGCCGCTTAAATCCTCTTCGTTTCGGCTGTTTTTCAGTTTTCTGAAAATTTGTTCTAGATTAGAGGTCAGAAAAAAAAAACTTCAGTTTGTTTCTGTTCAGCTGGAGGAAGTTATGGCGCCTCTATGCATTTATTTTTTCTAAGTTTCTACTAGTTCATCGTTACCTGGTGACACTGTGATGTAGAGCTGCATCATCTGCATAACGACGGCACAAACACAAAATCTCACCAAGTGTTTTTAATTTGAGTTCAGGTGAAACATTCTTGAAATGCTTGAAATGAGGAAAACTAACTTACAAGTAACTTCTTGGTAATACATAGGAGCTTGTTCTGGTTCTGCTATGCATCCCCAGAACCAGAACCAAAGCATTCAGCTTCTATGCAACATAAATCTGGAACAAACTTCCAGAAAACTGCAAAACTGCTGAAACACCGAGTTTCTTTGAACCTAGACTGGTTAGAGCTGCTTTTGAGCCCTAAGAAATGAAACCAACATTAACTTGATTGACTGCTTTAAGCTAATTATTCTATAATATTGATGAAAAAGTACCAGATAATTGAAAAGTTTAATTAATGGTGAATAAAATGTCAGCAGAACCAGCTCCTAAATCTTGATTAAAATTTGTTTTGTCCTATTTCAAGTGATAGAAACTTGACTGAAATACTTGCTAAGTATTTATACTTATCCTGTTATTTGTTGTAATCTGAGCCACGATGTAGATATTAAATATGAAGGGCCCGAAGGTGAAACCTTGCGGTACACCGGATGTGAATTTCGGCCGCTCCATCCCTCTTCTTTAGGCAATACGCTGTTTTGCAACACATTCCAAGTTATTTCTAAATTAAATTTCTTGTAATTACACTTCTGCCGTATGAAAAATGTTTGTTTTATGGTTAAACATTCCAGTGTTTCACATTTCTATACCTGCAGCTCTGCATATATCACAGGATGGATCTGGATTTCCAGCCTCTTCTACCAGGTGACGCGGTTTCACTCATTGATCGTCTGATTTTAGTGAACATATTATGACCTCAGAGAAAGTTTTCTGCAATTCTTGGTTGTCTGGGCATTTTTTTCTCATATCTCATTTAATTCCCCTGTGACATCAGCAATACCTTTCAATCCACAAACTGTGCCTTGCTTGACTCTTTCTCTATTTCAGGCGTGGAGAGATGGCACGGATGGTGAAAACCCAAAACCCAAAAGCAGTTTCTGTTTTAGTCAGACCAGCCTGGCCGCCAAAATGCCTCAAACCCCCACTTATCCCCTGTTCTGATGCTCAATTTAACCTTCAGACGTATTGACCTTTTCACTACGTCTAAATGCCAAAATGCATTGAATTTGTTCCATGCTGACATGTATTGAGGAGGTGAAAGTGGCTGGAGAGCTGCAGAAACCTGCAGAGTTAACGTTCATCTGCGAGTTGCAGGTCGGAAGCAGCTTGAAAAGGGTCGACGCAGAAGCAGCGAGAACGCAGAGCTACTGCTGCATCCTGTGTGAATGTGGCGCTCGCTCTGCGGCGGGTGACTCAGTTCCTGAAAACCGAGCAATACCAAGAGTGATTTACAGAAAGACGCTCAACGAGTGTGGCACACAGAAGAAGATTCAGAGTGATGTTTGTTTTTCCTTAAGAAACACAGGTGGGAGAAAGAGGGGAGGAAGAAAAGGTTAAGATGGAAGAAAAAATACAAAGAGTGACAGATTTAAGGCACATAAAGTTGTGTTTTTATTAGATTTTTTCTCTTTTCTGCAGATATTGGCTAAATTCTCAATGAAAAATAATAAAAAGGTCCAAAAATAATCCACATTTTATCCACAGTTCCTCGTCAGAGCAAAGAGACTTTGTGAAGTCAGGCCTCAGAGCCCGCCGGCCAAATTTAAATTCTTCAAACCGCAAAGTTTAACACATGCGACAAAAACACTCTGCGAGGTGAAACAGGGCGACGGCGAGTAAAACGGGTGAGAAGAGAGGATGGGGGAGGGCGGGAGAAACAGACAGAGAAAGGAAGACTTTTAGAGCTTCAGGTCTAAAAGTCGAGGACTGAGGAAGGAGCTTAAAAGAAAAAGGAACAAAATAACTCCAATAAAAAAGGGAAACTACTGCTGCTTCGCTGATGATTACAGCTTTTTGTTGTCAAAAGAAGAACCAATCAAGTGAGGGAGACGGTTTGAATCAAGATGATGAAGCTGTTGGTGCAGCTCTGCTTCCTGAGTGAGTTCACTTCAACTACTAACAGACTTTTCCTCCCAGCTCCGGTTTTAAATCTTTACTGATGAAAACACAGAGATGCTCTCTGAGGCGACTACTTTAAAACTTTTGCTTCTTCAGTTCAGTTTAATCAAATGATTAAACAAGTTTTTATCAAATGCTACAAGAATGTTTGTTCAAAATCAGCTTCTGGACATAAATTAGCCATCATAGCTGTTTATTTACTCACCAGAAAAACCTTAACTTAGTCATAAATCTGCATTTGCATAATTTCCACAAGCTAATTTAGTGGATGCCTCCCATGCAGGAAGTAATGCAAAGCCAGCAAACGCCGCAGTGAGCTCAGGTTTCCGCCAAATGAACTTTTATTTTTTTTCAAATGCAAAGTGATGTCAGTGCAAAAGTGTAATATTTGCATATTTTCTGCTTAGGAATTAATAACTCAGGTTTATGATGAGGTGTGTCCAAATTTACTGAAAGTTCATTTTAATCAGAGCTAAAATGATCAAATAAAGAACATGCAGCGTTATTGTGGTCCTGCTGATTAGGCTGCAGCTTTAAACTGAGATTTAATTATAGTTTAGGATTCTTATAATAAAAAATCTTCATTTGATGATTAGAATGAAAAGATGCAGAAATTTACTTTAATAAGATCCTATATCTTGCTGAAAAGTCATTTTAAGTTATTTTTGTCTTATTTCAAAACTAATGGGATTGTTGCACTAAAATTAGACCAAAAGACACTGAACCTAATGCTAGGTTGTAGTTTAGCAACGTTATGCTTAGATAAGTGATGCTAACATGTTTTCAGTTCTAAAAGTTTAAACAAAATGCAGAGAATCAGCAGTGATCTCACATCTCAGTGTGACGACAGCTGCAGCTGCTTCTTGTTGCTTTGGTTTAAAAGTTTTCATGCTAAATGTTAGCAACTGTGCAGCTGAAGGTTTTATGAGCTCTGATCATCCCGTGTTGCAGCAGATGGAGCAGAATCAAGATGTGATCAGAGAAGCTGAATGTTTTCTTTATTCTCAGACTTTTATCACCTCTTTGCTCTCGTTTGTTTTCTCACACATCTGAAAGCAGCTGCAGCTTAAAGAAAACTCAGTCATCTGTTATCAGTGAACTGCATGCTGCTCACATTATGTTACTTTATGATTTAAAGGACAAATTCAGTGTTAAGATGTTTCTTTTTATAATATTTATCTTTGTTTTGCAGCTCTAGCAGCTTCTGCTGTTTCACTAATGACGACACCTCCTGCAACTCCAGGTAAAAACTGACTTGATTTATCATGAAACATATTATTATCCACATCATGTGAGCTCTATATACATAATACACCAAATAATAGAAGTAAAAACTACAGATGCTGAAGAATTATATTTGGTTTGTGACTTTTCTTTCTTAAAACATAAACTCTGTAAGGTGGGATTTGTTCTGAAAAATTCACTGTATAATTTTGCTAATTTATTAAAAGGCCTTTTAAAAAATTACATAAGTTTTATGAATGCTTCATAAAGGCCTGATTGACATTTAAACGATTTAGAAAAGTCTATATTTGTTTCTTTCTGGGTCACAGCCCCTGTTGGTCAAAACTGAACTCATTTTCAAATTTAAAGGTTATTTTTTTAGCACACAGTGAACAAGCTACTGTCAAAAATAAGAGTAAAAAGTATTTTGTAAAAGTTGACTCAAGTATTGAGCAACTGATCAAATGATCAGTCATTTAATATTTAAAAATTAAACCATCAGACGGACCAAAATATAAACTTAAGTGGAATTTTTGGCATTTATGGATCAAAATGATGATAAATCAAATAAATAACAAAAAAAACGGAAGAAACTTTTTCCAAATCAGTTTCTGTCAATGAAAACAGAAACTGCAGGTCTGCTGTTTTCATTCAGTGGGTAGAAAATCCAGACATTTTACTCAAGTAAGAGAAGAAATGTAATATGTGATAAAGTTACTAACGTTAAATTAAAAATACTCCTAAAACTAAATGTAGCTGAGGTTCTACCTGTTAAACTGCTTCCAAAGAGACGCAATCGTTGCTGCAAGCATCAATTTTTTTTACCTTATTCTGCTTCGTTTAATGAATTTCAGATAAAGTATGCATTTTGTATTTATTTTAACATTTAACTTCTTGTCTCATAAACTCTTACATCCTGGTACTTACAGACTCCTGTCCCAAAGGCTTTTCCTGTTAAACATTAGAATAAAATCTCCAAACTTAAATTCTGTTTTTAATGTTTTATAAATCTGACCATTTCTACACCATCACTGATCTTAATTTAGAATGTTCTAGTTTTATTATCTGTTTATTTATATTTATTTTATTGTTTTCTGCATCGTATTTAGTTCCAGGAACTCCCTCACAACGAAATGACACAAACACGACCCTGGATGTCAAGACAAATGGTAAAAATAAATCAGATTCTTATTCAACTTTTTCCTCTTTCCTTTTCTTCTTCTATGTTTTTTGGTGGTTGGCAAACAACGAAATTGGTGCTTTACCGCCACCTACTGGTGTGGAGTTTGGAGCGGAGCGTCACTGCAGATCACATTTGTGTTGTTTTTCCTAAATAAAGTTAAAAAAATATTCTTTTCAATTAAAGATCAAACTAATTCCAATACAGAACCTGAACTAAAGTATTTATGTTATTGACTTAAAGTGCAGGAATGTTTTGTTTCTCTGGATTATTAGAGATTTGAGATTATTCTTCACTTTTTGTCTCCTTTATATTAGCCACAGATTATTTATTTAATCCGACATCTGAGATGGAGATTAACGGAACCATGAAGGAGATGAACAACGCCTCATCAGCATCGACTTCATCGCCCGCGGTGCATCAGGGCCCAACCTCACCATCAGTAACCACGGTAACAGTCCCCAGTAATCCCAGTGGTTTTATCCAGCGGCTGCAGCTCAAACCAAAACATTCATCAAAGTCAGAAACAGAAGACCAGTGGATTATTGCTGGGGATTAGGAACCCCAGTCACCTGTTAATCTGCATGTTTCAATAGTTCATTATTAATGTGATTTAACCGTGTTGGTGCTGCTGCAGATATCTGCACTGTAAAAACACAAAATCTTACCAAGGATTTTCAGTCTAGTTTCTACTGCAAATATCTTGGTACAATTCAAATTAGAGAAAATTAACTTATTAGAGACTTTTCAGTTTAAGTCGGTATTTGCTTATTGTTGATGAAAAAGTACCAAGTCTCTCTGGCAGATTATTTCACTTATAACAAGACATTTTCCCATATTATAAGAGAAATAATCTGCCAGAGGTTAATGGAATAATTTGGTTCTAGAGCAGAACCAAATACTTTTTCTAAAAAATAAAACATGTTTTCTATTAGATTTTAAAAAGCTCTGATGATTTGAATCATTTCAACTGGAAATTTTTTCCAATTTTCTGCACAAATCTGTTTAATTTGCCTTAAAGTTAAACATAGACATGAATTTACATGATTTATTTTCCTCCTTCATTGCTTTGTTTTTACTAAAAGTGCAAAATTGCTGTGTTAGAAATTCTCCATCTTGTGCTACATTGAGGACAACGTTCTTCAGTCAGAGGCTTCTACAAACATGCTGGAAGACAGACTGCTGCAGGAGCCGCATCTATGACTCTATGACAAAACAAATATTCTATTCAGGATTAATAAATGAATCCAATCTGTAATGTTTTACACACTTTTTCAGTTTTTTTAACTTTCTGTAAATAAAAAAGATCAAACTCTGACCTCCATCTGATCCATTATTGATGTATCAACTCATCATTGACAACATGAACAGCATCAATGAACAAAGTTTGGCCAAACCTTCACATGAAATGCGGATGTGGTCATTTGGATGCTGCTTGTTGTGTAAAGTTACATAAAACGTTTTTTATAAACAGTTTTAGCTGTGAGCTTCATCAAGCCGCTCCAGACAAACAGCAGACAGGAAGTGATTTTGGGTTGGAGTGCAAAGCTCAGAACAAGAAAAGCTTCAGAAACACAAAGCCGGTTCTCAGAAATCCAGGAGAAGAAACATTTCAAACCACCACATGCTTCCAAATATAATGTTAGAAGGAGTTAACTGATGGAGTTTTTGTTTCCTCTTTGGCAGGAAACAAAAGCAGAAGCCAGCGAAAGGTCGACCTCCTCAGCGACGGCAGCATCAGCAGCAGGTAGCTTCATGCAGGCTGCAGGTTCACGCTCTGCCTCGTTTTGTCTTCCTGCATCAAACCACAGCGTCTCACACGCCTGATTTCTGTCTAACTGCTCACCAGCAGCCACAGCAACACGTTCAGATGCGCCATGTTTAATCCACCAAACCAGAACGCTAACGGCCACAGGACAAAAACAAACACATCTTCACCACTGAGCTGCCATTTTCAGGAGGGAGATTCATGATGACCGGCTCCAATTTGTTCCTGAATAAAGACACGTCTTTTTTTTTGTTCAGTTTCACTGTGTGAATATCCACAGAAGTAAATTGTTAATGTAAGATACATTTATTTACTGTTTTTCTGTAATGCTTTCTGCCGTTTCGGAAACATAAGGAGCTAAAACAACACAAGCTAAAACAAACCACAGCAGAGAAGCAGAATGCTGCTTCTCCGTGTTTGGTTCTGGTTCTGAGGATGCAGAGCTGGTTCTGGGAGGTTGCTGTGACGACAGCAGCAGATCTTTAAGCCGTTCAGTGATTTATAAACTAATAGTTTTTTAAAGTGTGTTCTCTGAGCTGCAGGGATCCAGAACTGGGTCCCTGGCTCCCTGAGCCAGATCCAGAACGCTGCTGCTGCGTTCTGGATCTGGGCACAAATAAAGGAAACCAACATTAAATCAATTTTCTCCTGAGAGAAAAACTGAATCTAATGTGTTTCTTTCAGGGTCTCCAGGCAGTTCATCTTGGGGTAAGTTCACTTTTTTTTCCTCCAGTTCATCTTGTTGAGTTCATCTTCACTCTTATTCTTTTTAAACTCAGTTTTTCACTATGAGGTGAATAATCATGATTCCTGCAGGGAGATTCATCATCATTCTGTTTTTAAAAACAAGCCAAACTAAAATAGATGCTATTAAAACTGTTCTTCTTGACTGCAGATGTTTTGTTTCTATCATGTTGCTAAGTTTCTAGCTCCCCCTAGTGGTCACTAGAATACAAGGCAAATTGACTCAGCATAATGTGAATACTTCCAACCATCCAAATAAGATATTTGTTTATTATTTGTTCTGTGTTTTAATGTAAAATGAGGCCAGTCAGGACGTAACGTTTTGTTCTCGGCAGCTTACATCCTGCTGGTGTTGATAATCATCGTGATCGTCGTTCTGTGTGTCATCCTCTACATGCTGCGCAGGGCGTCCAGGGTGAGAAACAACAAATAAATCCATGTTTCCCTAAAGAAAAACGATCAACATTTAAATGTTTTCATTGCTATTTTCTTTTCCAGACGTACTCGTTTGACCTCCAGCGACCTGCGGCCTCCAGCAACGTCTACGAACCAACTGGCACCTTCGGCCAGGTTTACCTGGACGACCTGGGTAACAAACTAACGCCATCTAAATGTCTTTAAAAGTCTAACAACCTGAGAAACAATGTTTTTGTTTGTTTTTGTTTGTTTCTCAGACCAACCGGTTAACAAAGACGTGATCTCTGATGACCTGTCCACCACACCGGTACCCAACGGCACCGGCCCACAGCCGGAGGAAACCGCAGACGGGGAAGAGAACGGTACCAATGTTTGGAAGTCTAAAGTATTTAAATAGCAGGATTTTCAGCAAATACCTGCATGTTTAAAGGCGCAGATTATTCAAAATGAAAATTTTTTCATCTGGGTTTCCATTGCTTCTAAAAACATCCCAAACAGAAACCCAGATGATTTTTGGTGTTTGGAAAATGAACGGTTCCAAAAATCTCCCAATTGTTCAGTCACACTGCGCCCCACATGGAGCTCCAGCATATTCTGTCAGCTGGTTTTGCTGCCGTGCAATGACTGCTACAAAACACAAGAGCTTTGTCTTGCTGTATTCTTGTTGGTTGCACATCAGGCTCCACTTCTGCTTTTCAAAGATATATGGTCTATTTGCAGCTATTTTGACGTGTCAGTGTAAACGTGACCAACAGCAGCTTATTTGGATTTAAAGCCACATGAGCCTCTGAAGCAGCTCATCCTGAAAGGAGATCAAACTATGCAGAACTAACCAGACTAAAATCTCATTACTTAAAAATTATTTTGTGCAAACAATTTAATAAACATGTTTCGTATCATCAATCGATCAACCCTAACCTCATCAAGGATGCATAATTAGATTCTGCCTATTTTAGCTCCTTTCAGAATCAGAATAAACTGAAAATGGCTGCAAACAGATACACATTTGCACAACCGCACATCTGTGAGCCTGAGGAAGAAGAAATGGATGGTGAGTCAACAACAAATCACTTGTCCTTTCCAGCAGCCATTGTACAGCGCAAACGTTGGTAAATCCAGCTCAGTAACGGCACAGAGTGACCTAACAACCAGGGGTTTTTGAAAGAACTTGTTTTCCAGACACCAAAATCCATTAATTTCTTGCGTGAAAAGAGTTCAGACTGATTTTGGAAGCAGTAGAAACTAAATGGAAACGTGAAAAGTGAGTTTTGCACAATTTTTCCCCTTCAAGGTAACATTTGATGATCCAGATCCAGGTTTGGTGAATTCAGACATTTACTCCTTTCCTGCAGCTCTTCAGGATCCACCAGAAGCAAACGACCCGCAGAGACCTTCGTCCTCCTCCTCTTCCTCCAGCCGCAGCTCGTTATCGGGAGGCGACCAGGAAGAGAAGAAATCCAACCAGATGAGCAGCAACAACTTGTTCTTCGACGCAGTCGAGGAGACGCAGCAACAGAACGGAAACAACAACAACAATCCATGTAAGCTCATTTAAATAATACACAAATACAATCAACAGGTGCTATAAAAACTATTTCGGTGGAAAAAACATGTTGACTCTTTTCTAAAGTATCAAAGTTTCCCGGTAGCTTCAGTATTAGAACAACTTTAAAGGATTTAAAACTTTTGTTTTAATCTGGAAAAAAAGGAGCAGAAGCTCCACTAAAAATGGAAAATAAAAACTTTAAGGTTAGTTCCACATCAATTCAACATATTGTTATAAATTAGGCTTAAATATCATATTTATCTATAATATTTGAAAATTAAAATAACTAATTAAAGTGCAGTTTTAAATATTAAGTTTGATATCATTTTATCTGCAAGCAAAAGGAAAATGTGACATAAATGAAAAACTTTGTGTGTGAAAGTTTATATGTTCAAGTATTTTTGGCTCCATTTGAATTTCAGACACTTTATTTCATAATGAGGAAGTAACACGTTGCACTGCTGAGTGGGTTTCAGTTGATGAAACTTCGGCCAGTAGGTGGCGCTCATCCACACTCTGCAACCCCAAAAAACCCAACAATCATCTTTTCTGGACTTTAGCTGCTTTTTTGTATTTTTTAAGTAAAATTTTGACCTTTTACTTTGAAAAATTAGTTTTTATGTTTGACTTATGAATCACTTGTAAAAATAAATTTTTTTGCTTGTTTTTTCTGGAAGATTTTTGAGTTTAAATAATTTTGTTTAGAAACATATTTATCTCTCTTTTGTTGCATTTTCTCCTTTTGTAGCCGTTTGCTCCAGCGACCCGTTTGTGGAAATAAACCTTGACGATCCGGCCTGGTCCGATCAGCTCCTCACTTCTCCACCGGCCTCCTCGGTTCTCCCTTTCTCTTCCTTCTGCTCTTCCTCCTCTTCCTCATAGCACCAGAACATTCACACTGAGTGAGACTGGATGTCCTTCCACCACAATCAGCAGAAGGTCTTTCAAGGTTTCTCTCTCTTCCCTGCTTACTTGAAACAAGCTGAACTCAAAGCTAAACCAAAGTTAGCTTGAACTGTTTTGACGATGAAATGTTAGTTTTTTATTAATTGAAATTTTTTTTTTTACAGATGATTAAAAAAATCTAGAAAACCTGCAACTTGCGGCATCTGATCAAATCAAACTGTTTTAGTTTATGACAGTTTTTATGGCTTCCTGTTTACACGTTATCGTTTCTCAAACTAAATAAACTGTAAAGACTAGAAGCTAATTACCGTCAATATGTACAATTTTGTAAAAACTTCTTATTAAATCTATATTTTGTGCCTCACATGATAACAGAAACCCAACAGCTTTGAATTTCAAATCTAATTCTGCAGAATTGTTTTTGGTTATTATGAATAATTTCTTTATTGTACAGAAGTAAAAATATGCAGCTACTGCTTTAATTAATGCTCTGATCCAAACTGATAAGAAACGTTTTCTTAGTCCTAACTTTATTACGTTCATGGAAATGATGTCATTTTATCATTAACTCTAACATGAGTGAATCAAACTTCCTGTCAGTGAAGCACATTTTGTGTTGGTTTTAAAATAAAAACATTTTGTGTTGGTTTTAAAATAAAAACATTTTGTGTTGGTTTTAAAATAAAAACATTTTTTGTTGGTTTTAAAATAAAAACATTTTTTGTTGGTTTTAAAATAAAATTGTTTTGTTTTAATAAAACATCTTTCTGCTTTAATTTAAATCCTGTTATATCACGTTATGATTAAGTCTGTCGAAAAGTGACATAAAAACAGTTTTGGTTTAACTTTGGCTAACAGTAAATAAAAAAATAAAACAGCTCATATCTTTTACTTCGTATATAGCAAACCAGTGGGTTTTTTTGTTTATTCCTGTAATATTTGCATTTAGTTTCCACAAAAAATGTCAACAAAAGTAAGTAATAGTAATGTACTTTTAGATCAGATGTTTTTTTGTCATTGGGTTGGAATATTTCAGTTTTTTTATTTTTTACATAATTTTCCATCTCCTTTTTGTTTTATCTTTATTTCTATTTTGAATCCTAACAAAATGGTGATTATTTAAAACATTTTGTCTATTTTTAGCTGACATGATAATTATCTTTTCAACAAGTCGTGCGATATCAAAAACCTTCCCAACGCCTGGAAGTTTCATGTTCTGTGTGCTCCAACATTACAGAAGGGAAATTTACTGATGTCCCTGAACACATCTTGTATCAAATGAGGTTAAAGCTAACCTCATTAACCTCGTTTAGATCAAGAACTTCCTGCTTTTATGGTAATTATTTATTTGGACGTTTACCACATTGAAATCTCTCATCTCTGAAAGACGCGCTGCTGGTGAGATACTGATTACTCATAACTACCCCACACAGCCACACTTCAAACAAACTGAATAGTAACTTTATACTTATCCTGTAGAAACTTGAAAATAACTCGGCGCTGTAGAGTCACAGTGAAACTCCAGGTGCCTCGAAGAATCACGAGGTTGTCACAAACTTGTCTCTCATGCAGAGATCATTGTTTCCTCCTCTTCAGCTCAGATTTGGCTCGTACTGTCCAGCAGGTGTGACGACTTTCACTTTCTAAATACGTAAACTCTGTTTAAATTTGGCTGGAGTTGATTAATGCCTGAACTGGTTTATTCCGTCCAAACAGTTTCCGTAAAAACTAAGAATCAGACAGGAAGAGATGCATCACGATAAACTATTTCTGTTCCACTGTAACTCCAAACGAACCAGATAATTAGACTTTCATCTAGTGTCACAGTCATCGTGTGTAAAAGAGAGATAGAAACAAATCATTAAAAGAGTCTGGATTTTCCTAAAACTTTTATAATAGGAAACGTTTTTACATTTAACTAAAGTTTATTCAGCATTTGAATAAACCTTCTGGTTTTTCATTCAGAGTGAATAAAGACAGACTGATAAGAACTGACATCCCAAGATGCTCTGCAACTGGAGTTACTGAGAACCTTTATATTTCCGCCTCAGTTCGCCTTTTATTTTGCTTAATGTTTCCACAGAGGCCTTATTTTTCTTCTTTTTGTTACTTGACATACAGTTAAAATTTTGCTGACCTCCAAACTGAACGGAGACCACAGAAAATAAAAACACATGGCAGCATCACTGCAACCTGAGCCGTCCTCCTCACACCCACCGAGGCTTTATCAGCTTTCAGATGACAAACGGCTTGTAGTGCCCATAAAAAGGGGAAAGTCCCCCACTCCCTCCTGCACATTCTGCAAGTCATCTTCACACTCCCACATAAACTGACACCTTCTACTTTCGCTTAAATTTGAAGTTTCAAAGATTAAAATTAACTATATTTTTCTTGAGTGATACTTTTAGTCTCCACATGACAGAAACATAACATTTTATCAAACATATTTATTTAGTTTCAAGTGTAAATATTTTCCTTTTGTCAACAACAAATCAAAATACAGGAAATAATCTAAATTCTCAGGCAGAAGAATTTAAATTATTTTTGTTTGACAAGACAAAAAGGTGACAGAAAGGTCATACTTCTTAATTTGATGCTTTTTGATTACAAAGGCTTTATTTTATTCGATATTACATTACAAAAACACAACATTGTAGTATTCTAGCCATTTTATTTCAAATTAACCTTTTTTTAACTCATAAAACACGGTACAATTACCCTGTTATCTTTAACAGGGTAATTTTTGCACCGGATGCAAAAATTACATCCGGTGTACCCCAAGGTTTTGTCTTTGGACACCTACTATTTACTATCTGCATGCTCTGAAGAGCTCAGATTATAACAAACAAATCACATCTGGCCCAAAAATTCTTGGTAAGATTTTGTGTTTTTGCAGTGCAGCAAGCTTTACACACAATGTGACTTTATGGTTTAATGAAATTATGAGGTTTATTACAAGCCTGGCTCAAAAATACTGAACATCTTCTTTGAAAAACATCAAGTAATTTACGTTTTCTAAAAACATGGATGGTACAAAATTAATAAAGAAGTTACAATAATTTCACACAGAACAAAATCAACAACTATACAGAAAATGTCTGTTTTTGTCATAGTGGATGCAATAAATACGACTTTGTGTTCTTAATCAAGTATAAGAACGTAAACCTGTAATGTGATTTATGACTTTCCAGAGTCATGAAGTGGTAAATCACTCATGCATGTATGGAGTTACTCATCATCCATCATCTGCACTGAGCAAAGGTCCAACTGGACTTTCAAAATAAATGTTTCCAGCAGCCCAGCAGTGTATTAAATATCAGTCTGAGCTTGAAATGTGTTCTTTGCTCTTCAGACTTTCACTTCAGTGCATAAGTTTGTGTTTCACAGAAACATTTTGTAATGTCCCACAGAGCCTGATCTCTGCTTCACTGCAGATGGAAAACTAGAGCACAAAAAAATGACAAATTAACTTTACTCAATAGTTTCATGACGTCAGTGACACGTTTAACCCAAACATCGAGGAACCAGGTCAGTTTGCATAGATGCATGGATAAATTGACACAAACTGATTCACTCAGCGTAATCATTCAAACCATCTGCTAAAATAAGAATAAAAAATATTTTCAAATATCCTCCTGCACTAATGTAGCTCTTTATATGGTGGCATAAAAGGGCTCAAGAGAATAAAGTCAAGAAATTACACCAATAAAGTTGTAACATGATGAGAATAAAGTCAAAATATCACTTAACACTTTTTGTGTTGTTTTGACTTTGTCATTTTATTATTTTTATTTTCTTAACACTTGATTTTTATTGACATGCATTTAGCTGCAACATGCTAACTTAGCAGCCCTAAAAGCTAATTGCTAGCTTACCAATTGGTAACTGGAGCTTAAAATTAAAACAAATAAATGAGCAAATATACAAAACAGTACATTTATATTATTTTACCTAAACAGCTTGACCACAACAACAAAAAACGAAACTAATTCAGCACCAAAAATCCACCAATGGCTAAATCCACAATTAGTAAAAATGAACAAAAATAGTAATAGATATATTCAGATTCAAAATGGAAATATTTTTTTAATTTGACCAGCAGATTCAATCAGAATCAAACTTCCTGGATCAATACAACAATATTTAAAACCTGACAGGATTCTGAATCGTTTTGCACTCGGCTCCAACAGAAACTTGTGTTCTGGAGAACAACAGGTACATAAAGTTAAACACCTGTGGATCACGATGTTTCCGTGACAAGCAATTAATTTAAAGCTGTTTTCTGTGGATTTTCCTTATTGCGGAGAGAATCAGCAGAGGATTCAGTTCATTATTAATGTTTCTTCCACTGCAGGCAGAATATTATTTAGTGTAACAGTTTCCATTACAGCCGCTGTGGTTGGTCTCTGTAAACGCAGGCTCTGTAGCACTCAGCACAAAAACCACTACAAAGAAGCTTGTGGTGGCAGAGGGAGTACTTTTCCAGGAACAGCCACTCCTCTGAAACTGGGATGATGAAAAAATGTCACCATGAGGCCGAAGGCGGAGAGAGCAACCTGAAAAATTTCCCTCGACATTCAGAGGAGCGACAGACAATTTTCTATAACTAAACTCAATATTTTTAATGTTTCTGGTGCAAAACTCTTACTGGTTTTGAATTAGAGTCACATTGAAAATTACCTTCGAGATTGAACAAAACGGTAAAGAATGTAAAGTATTAGAGCCACAAATACAGCAGCGACTGAAAGTGTCACAGCCAATCTAATGGTTTGGTCCGGTCCGGTTGGAGCGAGTTCAGCATCTGCATGGAGAAAAAGCATCAGAATAAAAACTAAAAGAACAAATATTTATGCTGTTTTGTCAGGTTTCCAAAAAGATTAGGAAAAACAACACAAACATTGGTGTGACTTTATGAACGCTTCCTTAAATTGGAGAAGTGGATGAAACAACAGAGCAAACTGGTTATCCTGTCACTTTAAATCCATATAAGCTGTTGCTGGCCACGCCCCCAATTCAACTTTACACTCACATGAAAATGGATGCTAACAGTTTAAAACAAAAAACCGGCTGACCAAATCTGCTGGAGTTAGGATTGGGTTGCTAGGTATCAGCCGCCGTCGTTTGTTCAGTAGAAACTCAACACAAAATGTTCAGAAAATAAATCTGAGCCTCCGTTATGAACAAGCTTTCACTGCATAATAGTTTGGTGGCAACCTCTCAGTTTCATCCGCCGTTGTACAAAGAAAGAAACGAAAAACAACGACTCATCCCAACGAGTCTGGAGCAAAATGTCCAGCGTCCAACTCAGAGTTTTGGACGCGTTTTTCAGACTGAACGCAGGACAACGTATCACCAAACATGGTTGGGTTGTTTAGTTTGAGCTCTTGGGATGTTTTTAGGAGCAGCAGAAACAGAAGTGGAAGCATGAAAACTGTATCAAAGTTCACAGACTCACATGGAGGCGTCGCGACAAAAAGTATGTTTCCTGACGGATTGTCATTTCCTCCAATCGTAACGTTCAGAACAAATTGTTCTGCAGGGGAAAAAACAGTTCAGTGACATTTCTTTTCTTGTTTGACAAAAACGTCTTGTGTTTTTTTTTTTTCACCTTTCATTTGAAGTCTCCATTTCTCTGTGACGTCATCGAAGTCGGCGTTCAGGTAGCAGGTGTAAATCCCAGAGTCTCGGTTTGGACTCTGGACAGATGGAGTCGGATCTTTGCCTCCTGGGGAGCGTCTTTGTCCAAATGGACCCGTCCTGCAAACTGCTCATCAGCCGGAACCAGGGAACCTCCGACTGTGTCGAAAACTATCTTTACCGAGTCCGAGACAAATTCACAGATCATGTTGATGAGAGTCCAGTTAGTTTTCATGTTAGTGCTCCAATCGACGGTGATGTTGTCGTTTTCTTTGGCTCTGTAGACCATCGAGCAGTTCGTGACGCTTCTCTTTTCAAAGGTAAGATAATAAAGAATAATTGAGTATAAAAACTGACTGCAGAGATCACAGATGTAGAGGAGGAACTTTATCGCCTGCATCATGTTTCCTGCAAGAGAATGTAAATAAAGGTTTGTTTTACAAGTTTAAGATAAAAAATTTTTATTTTATAAATCCTGTATAATAGGCCGGCTGTTTCTGGAAGCACGTGGCCATAAAGTTACAAAATATAACTGAGGAATGTCTTAAAATCAACACAAAATGTAAATAAATATATCCTTGAACATAATTTGTAATACTTTATGCGATAACATACATGCAATTATTAAAAATACAAAAGTTGCTCTTTTTAAAAGTGAAAATGTAATAATATGGCTCAGTGTTTGTGTTCATCTTAATCAATATGCTTCTAATAATAATCATAAATTATATTATATATTTTACACTTTGATCAATTAATACCAAATATTTGGTCACTTAGTTGACTAAACAGTTCCTCTCCTCACCAGTGGGGGCGCTACAACAAGAACCAGAGGAAGGAAATAACATGAAAACCTCTGAAGAATAGACTCAGTGCAACAGTAGGATTTCTCTTTGGGACTGGCTAGCGCTAGGCTAGCGCTAGGCTAGCACGCTTCTTTTGGCTGCATTTACCCAGAATGCCCTGCGCAGTCCACTTCCTGCTTTTGGAGCCATTTCTGGTCTGTTTGGCATTCACACATTCACTCAAACAGCACCGGAGTTCACTTATCCTCCTCTGACTAACTCCACTTTCTAGCAGGATTGAAACGGTTAATCAGATCACAATTAACTGATTGTTGAAATAACCGTTAACTAATTTAGAAATCAATTAATCGTTAACTGGAGTATATAGACCCTAACAAAAGATAATTAGCTAAAATAAAACAACACAGTCAGAGCAGAAATTATGACAGAACTGTACAATAAATACAAACATTTTGCATTTAAGATAAAATAACGTTTTTGTCTGTAAATGCTTTACCCTAAACTCCTTATGTGGCTGTTTTAGCTTCACCTGATATTTCTGTAAAAATCTCAGATTTAATCCAAACAGTAGTCAGATTACAGATTAGCCCAAAGCTCTATTGATGTTTATTCAAGCAGGACAGGCTGAGCTTTTCACATGTTGATGTTTGAAGGATTTTTTAGCAAACCCCCCCTTCTTGTTTTCTAAGCTCATTAAAGCCTCTTGTTGCAACAAACATATTTGTCCTTAAAAGTAATAGATTACTTTAATACTTACATGTATGAACGGTTTCTGCAGCTCTGTGGTCGCAGGTGTCTCATTCATCCGTCTGTTCAGTTCCCTCAGGATTTATCGCCGGCCGTTTGCACTTCCTGTGCTCAATCTGAGCATGAACAGATAATTTATGGACCTGCAGAATAAAAGAACAGAGAATCAAAATTTCAAAACGAGAATCGAGATTTGGTTGGCTGCAGTTTCTAAAATGATAAAACTGATCAAATGTTGGAGTTTCAACGTTAAACATCCAGGAAGTTTAAACGACATAAAATAGTTTTTTTTTAGAACGAACTGAAAAATGATCCAACAATTAACAGAAAAAAGTCACTGGAACAAATATTTTATTCATAGTTTTAAGTGAAGTTAATTTGGAAACATTTTCTTTTTGCCTAAGTTTGTTATTTTTGTTACTTATATGAATTATTGCCATTTTGGTTCTTAAAACACCTAAATTTCCACTTAACTTTCTGTTTTTCTCTGCATGATGACGTAATTTTTTAATTTTAAATGACTTTATCAGAACTTTTTTACCAAACACATTTTACCCTTTTAACTTTTACTACTTTAGTAAAAATACTTTGAAGTAAAGCTACTTTTATTAAAGTACAACTTTTGGCTGCTCCATCCACCAGTGTCTAAATTAAGACTTGATCATCATTTGTTCTTGTTTCAACATGTTTAAAAATCCCAGAGTTTTATGACTTAAACGTCTATTTTAGAAGAAGCAAAGAAAAGAGGAGGATCAACGCCTGCAGTAAAAATCGATCAAAAAGCTCGTCGCCACATAAAGGTCAGTAAAGGTTAAAGCTGCCGCCACGTTTCCAGTTTTAAAACCCGTCACTGATGATGAGTCAACACTTAAAATCTCAACACTTATAAAACAAAATTTACAAAGCAGGTCAGAAACTCTGGATGTAAAATAGTTCAGAGCAACAAGACAACAGATTATCACCAGAAAAATGTTGCTTCAATCCAACGTTTGCTCTTTTACCCAGAAACAAATATCAATGTTTTAATGATTCGCTAATTTGCTGAATCTACAGAAATCAAGACAACCAGAGAAATTTAGATCTGCTGTTTACTAAATAACCTGAAACAGAACTTTATCTTTGCATCCCAGCTGCATTTTCTTTTTAATACTTCAGATTTGCTCTACAAAAGAGAAATTATTATTTTCTGCACAGAAAAACTTAAAGTGGTACAAATAAAGCACCAATAGAAGCATAACGCTAACGTGTTAACGTTGGTAAAATCAAATCGCTGCAGCTGTAAATGACAGAATGGATTTTTTAAAATCAAAATGATCAATTTTTATTGCGATGATCAATGATCATGATTTGTGGTTCTAATTTAAAAGTATCTAAGAAATTTGTATGATTTTTGTGCTCATGTATGATGTTAAACATTTTTATTAATCATGGGTCATAACTTAAGCGGCAGTCACTTAAACCAAAATCTTTTGAGAAAAATTTGCAGGAAAAATCTGAAAAAATGTGGGAGTTTGTAGATTGTGTGAATTTTGTTTGAGTTTTGCAGATTTGTTGAAAATCTAGAGGGACTTAAAGATGTAATATGGAGTCTGGAGGGCCACATAAAAAGCTATAACGGGCCACGTTTGGCCCCCGGACCCTGAGTTTGACACGTGTTGCAAGTAGATGCAGCAGAAAGTCCTGAAAGATTAGTTTTATTTTAAAGTTCCTTTAAATAAATCTCCTTGTGTCGCAAATATTACTGGGAAAATAATTAAATGCAGCTTTAAGTCCACATGGAAAAGGTTTGTCACGTGTTACAGACGCCCTGCAGTCACGATTCACTCTGGGAAGAAAGGATGGAGCATCTATACAGGCACAAATTTTAAAAACATCAAATCAAATCTAAATATTTTCTGTATTAATTTTGAACCAATTTTTAGTGTTTAGAGTTACAGCAAAAGGAAAAACTGGACAAAATTCAGACCTGATGTCAAGCAGATGATCAACAGGTTTGATTTAAGCGACGTTCAGGGATTTAATGTGTGTATTAGTTATTAGTTATTGATTAAATAGTTGCAGTTTAGGGAATAAAGAGTCAGATTTAGTAGTAGGGTTAGGTCGATATCTCTGTTCTGTTTCTAATTTCTGAGTAAATCTGTCTGAAAACACGTCAGTCTGCCTGCTAAATATTGGATTTATGTGAGTTAAAACTAAATAAAAACAGAGAAAACAGATGGAATAACTTTAATTTGGAGGACGGTCTCAAACCTGAGTGAAGTTGCCGCTCAGTAAATGACTTCATTTGCCATTAATATCAAATAATATACAAGTTAAAACTGATGTTTAAAAATAAACAGTGATAGTTTGCAAATTATTGATAAAATAATGAAGAAGTTTCTACTTTTCTGTTTTTTAATCCCACTTTCCTTTATTAAAACTATTTAGCTGCAAGAAAACCTCAGTTGATGCTTATTTACTCTTTATTAATAACTGACAAGGAACAGAGTTTAAGTTTTGGGCAAAGATCTTCATCTGTGAGTTAATAAAGGAACAGATGATGTTTCTGCATGTGTTTCCTATTAGAGGAGAAAATCCTTGCAGTTTTTCTTCATGTTTCATCTTAAACTTGAGGAAAATTATCTTCTGTCTTCATATTCATGCACACAAACAGCAGGGAGAACTTTTCAACACTTTTATCGATGAATGACGCGACGTTCCATGCACACTCGGATGAATTACTTCCCATTTTTTGTTCTAATCACGTCGCATCAACGGCGCCTTTCAAAACTCCCACAGACGCTTTAAATGTACCAGAACCATAATAATGCGTTCAATCTGCAGCTGAGGCGCAAACTGCGTCTAACATCTGCATTTAAAGTGTTTCCTGTTCATTTAGCAGGGTGTTAAGATGAGGAAGTGGATATTTCCAGTCTTACCAGAGCGAGCAAGACGCAGTCAGGAGGGAGATGATGGAGATGATTCTGCAGCAGAGACAGAAACTAAAACAAAAAAACAAGTAAAGCATCGTCTGATGCCAACTTTGCCTTCAACCAACACGCCTTCACTTCTGGAGACGCTGGTACGGCGCGCCAGCCAATCAGAGCCGAGCATTTAGCGCGCGCTGAAATGTGGAAGTCAGTCAGGGAAAGGCCGACTGAGTCACTTCAGTGTATTTCTCAGAAAACTTCACCGCAACATGAATAGTCTGACAGATTAATGCGCCAAACTGAACAGCTTTTTCTTTTTTCGGAAATATTGTCAGAAATATGAGACGTGGCAGAATCCCACGGTCCCACGGTGCGTGGAGAAAACTGACCTGCTTCTGGTTCCTGCTGAATCAGAAGACTTTGAAACGAGACGCCTGAACGTGCAGAACCTTTAACGGGATTCGGACACTTCGGACTTTCTCCACATGTTAAATGGGGAAGACTTTAAGTGATGCACCAACTCAAATCCATCAAGTTATATTGTAAGTCCCCAAAACCACAACCTGGTTCAACCAAATGGCTTTAATGA